CCCCCTTTTTTCAGATTTTAGGGGTCGGGGACCCGCAAAAATTTTGAGAAGCACCCCAAAAATTTTTTCGGAGTGCGTGGCTAACGCCACGCACCTTCTTTAGAAAAAAATTTTTGTCGCGCCCCCCCCCCCCCCCCCCCGAAAAAAATTTCTCGGACCGCCACTGCTTTGCACTATAGGGTAATCCTATGCGGTAAACACGAATATCATATTCATTTGTCGCTAAAAAGAAATCTTTTGATCTCACGAACGAGGTCTTTTCATGCGAAACGGATCTTATTTTTGTGATCAGCATGTCAAATAAGCCCTATAGGCCAAGTTTCAGCAAAATCTGATGCATTCTAAAATTTTTCCCATGGTACCGTAAACCAGTGGCGTACCCAGGATTTCGGCTCGGGGGGGGGGGGGGGGCGCGACAAAAATTTTTTTCTAAAGAAGGTGCGTGGCGTTAGCCACGCACTCCGAAAAAATTTTTGGAGTGCTTCTCAAAATTTTTCCGGGTCCCCGACCCCTAAAATCTGGAAAAAGGGGGCGTGGCGTCAGCCACGCCCCCGAAAAAAAATTTTTTATAAGGCTAAAATGAATTTTTAAAAAATTTTAAAAATTATTTTAATTATTTACAAGTAAAAACAAGTCACTTGTACATTTTTATAACCCATGTAAGTAACTTTCAAAAATTTCGCGACCCGTTCTCGGGGGGGGGGGCGCCCCCCCCCCCGCCCCCCCGCTCGGTACGCCACTGCCGTAAACCTACCGTAACCCTCACATAAGATGTTAAAACTCGGCAAAAATGTGTGCATTAGAAGCTTACATCATATTCCTTATATTGCCAAAAAATGAATGCCAGAGTGGTCATTGGCTGTGTCCGAAATTTCCTTCACTTTGTCCTTCGGTGAGGTGTTGTCGCATGTGTTTTCCTGGCAGCTACCAGCCAGGTAGCATCTGTGAATTGATTCTGATTTCAGCTGATGATCTCTGGTGAAAAAATCGATGTTTTTGTGACATTTGAAACGTATGCCGTCAATTTTGACTGAAAGAGTTGCCAGCACAACGCCTTGATAGTCTTTGAGTGCAAGACATGTTTCCTGCGAGAGAGGTTGGAGCGTCATGATTGTCGCTTCATCAAAGGTGCATGTTTCGGAGTGATTGAAAACGACGCAAATTTCCTCGGTAGCGGTGATAGAGGTGACTTGTGAGCATCCTTGTGCATGTTGTAGCTCTATCAACGAAACGAAAAGGCTAAGCAGCAATTCCCTTTTCTTGATTCTTTGCCGTTTACTGACGTATTTGGGAAAGTTGTGTCGTGGTGGCTGGAATTCCGATTGGCGTGTCACAGATAAAACGTTTCTCATGCAATAGTAAGTGCACTTCAAGAGGTTTCGTATGATTTTCAGGAAAAAAGCGACGATCTTAATGGTGAGAAGTATCCATGGCAATATGAGTAAAGTGGCTAATGCACCTACGAAAACGAGAGCCATCTCAGTCAGTGTCCAACACTGTGTGTTGTAGAGCCGTTCTAGACAGAAGGAACATAATAGCATCTCACATATCGGATGTGCCTTGCAGTGGACCTTCCTTGTGTGGGATTCTGAGTTGATCCAGACCGTGACTGTGACAGTGTAATCGTACAGAACGATTGAGTTCGGAAATATTATCTCGTGCGCAGGTACTTGGTCGAAGAAAACACAGTACTGTTCTATGCAAGCCTCGACGAATTCGTATTTGGAATTGATGGCCAAGAACAATCCTCCTTTGGAGCAATTTGTAACGAGTTGTAGGTCAGTTATGGTCACAGCCTTAGCATTCAAGGTAAGAACGACATTCCGACGATGATTGTTTTCCACGGCGTTATTGGGATATCCATAGTACGTCTTCGCTATGGAGCCCCAGGCTTTGATTGGTATGGTTAGGTTAGATGTAGCATTGAGAACAAGCAATGCCAACGGATTATCATAAGCACAAAATAAACGTGCTCTTGGACTGCACTTGTGTCTTTTGCAAAATTGCGATGTTCCACTGACAAATTTTGTTGCTTGTCTCTTCCACCCTTTTTTGTCTATGCACAGAAAGTCGTACTCGTCGATAGTCGCGTATGTCTATCACCAGGTTTTCCACCAGAAATAGCGTGTCGTCATAGAGCTGAACTCGATTGAATAATCCCAATCGTTTGACTGAATCGCATGAAGTGGAAGACTCAAACGAGCACACGTAGTTGGGTTGGTAATGGAAGAATGAGGGTGGTACTTGTTCAAGGTAGGACAACGTTGTGTAAGAGCTATCACTAAAAGAGCACGTCGTTGTCTAGGTAGTGCATTTGCATTCTTTTCCGCGCAGTGTTGAGGAGTTGGCTTGGAATCGTATGTGGCCTAGTGGGCACAAAACAGGAAACCAACATAGAGGATTTCCATCGACGTTGATTCTTGCGATAGCGATTCCTCTCGCCACGCAATTAGTTGCGTACAGTACAATCTTTTCTACAGCAAAATCTTCGGGACATCGATTGTGATTTGCTTCGGTAGATGCGTTGTAGATTCCGAGTATAGTCTGAGGTTTTCCCATTGAAAGTGAGAAGAGCAGACTAAGGCAATCGAGAGCAGCGTATGCAATACAGTCCTTTGCGTTAAAAGCTCTGCCTACGATCATATCTCCAATAGTTGTGTGCAAAATCCGATAGTTCTTTGAAAGGGTCCTGTGGTGGAAGTCTTCTGACAATATGATGTCCCAGAAATAGTCATTTCCGATAAGAATGGATGGTTTGCAAAGAGAAAGAGAGACATCACTTGTTGTTCCTTCCGGGATTTCAACACGCTGTAGGTTTCCTGTGAGCAACGGTATTGATTTCACTTGAAGATGTTTCACTCCTTTCTCAGTGTAGAGACCAATCACGTGGTTTTGACACTCCAATTCTAGTGATTCAACTTTTCCAAAGGTGGAAAGACTTATATGTTCATTTCCTGTAGTAGGCAAATGAAGCTTGGCAGCGATCTCGTCAGTTATGTATGACTTGTTGGAACCACTATCCAAACAGGCTGTCGCTGCAGTGCGAAATGAAGGATCACTGGGATTGAAAAGCGTTACAGTGGTGCACATGAGAGCAGTCTGCTTTGTCATAGTTTTTGTGCTGTTGGTTGAACAAGTGACGGGAGCTTGTATTACAGGAACACTGGTTTGTGGGTTGAACGGTTGCTCATTGGGGGTGGGAGAGGAGGAAATAAGCTCATTAGTCTCTTCTATGTGCATTGTGTGATTTTGTGACTTCGGCGATCGATGAGGAGAATTTGTTGCATTTTGACGGCGTGTTGATTGAGGAGTTTGCGAATTGAGAGTAGGTGATGTCGAAGATGTTCCAAGATGACTCGATCGAAAACATAGGGAGGAGTGGTGTCTTTTGGAGCAGAACATGCAGAGGAATTTCGAAGTACAATTTCTTGTATTATGAAAAGTCGAAAGACAATTGAAACAAAGTTTTCGCAGTTTCACTTGTTCGATGCGTTTTTTCGTCGTAGGAAAGATATCGCACTCTATTGTCAAGTGAGTAGTAGAGTTGCAAAGTAGACACTTACGATATTTCTTCTTTTCATTTGGGACCTTGCGTGATCTCAATGTTCTGTTGAGGGCTACATGGAAGGCTTGACTTGGATTCCTTGAATGGGCGACAGGACGTGCGTGATATTCCATCTCGAACAGTGTGGAGTCCTTGCGAACAATATCCGTCAGTAGGTGCAGTAATTCCGAGGGGGAAACATTATGGTCATTCAAAGTGCGATCATACACTAGACTTCTTACTCGCAAACGGAGCTTGTTGAGGAGGAGAGCTCCAAGAGCAGTCTCAGAGTAATCATCGTGGTTGTTCGAAAACTGCCGGACTAGAGAGAACATTTGATTGTACAGCATGGGTAGGTGGCGTCCTTCAGGGTCACAAGGTGGTAGCTGCGCCAATTTGGTGACAAAGATATGTCTCACGGTTACTTTGTCATCATAAAGCGTCTTCAGTATATCCATAGCGATGTGATAGTTTTCGGCGGTCATTGAAAGTCCTTGAATGGATTGTAAAGCTCTTCCTCGAAGGCATGACTTCAAGAGTGAGAATTTCGTAGTGTCATTAAGTTGCCCTTTGTTAGCGACAAGTATTGCAAATCGAGCGTTGAATTCCGGGAAATCTAGTAGATTACCATCGAAGGTAGGTAGCTCCAAATTCGCGAGAATGGAAGCGTCTACAAAATTGAGTAAAGATGCATCTGATGCAGGAGGAGTCGATCGAGTAATGTGTTGTTTTATGCCCATTCGAGTGTCTCTTTTGTTGTCTTCGTTGTCTATTGGCGTCACATCAGAAAGATCCGATGGTGGATTGAGTTCTCTTTTGACATATTCCATGTCCAGAATATTCAGAATGGCATCACACTGTTCGAGGTGTTGACGGCCGAGGCAATGTCTGTATCTGTACGATAGTCCCCATATTTTGTGATGTAGTCTTCGAAGATCTTTTGCTCTGCTAGATCGGAAGTTTGAAAAGCTATCCACTCATCGTGTAGCTTCACTATTTTGTTGTGTGCCTTCAGCAAGTTCCTCTTCGCGGAAGCGAGTTCAGAGCGAAAAGACTCCAGTTCCTCATTGCTCAGCTGGCTAAGGATAGGTTCAGATGGCTCAATGCGGTATTCCTTGAAGACATCAGCAGCTATGGAGCCGTATCATTGCAAATGTCTTCTGAAGAGGCCGATTTGTCTTCGAATATTTGCGCTGTCATGGATTGGCATCTTTTGAAGGATGAGAAGATTCGATGCAAGCGTGCTTAGTAGTAGTAGTAGTCGTGTGTGATGATGAAGAAGTGCAACTGCACATGAATAGGTGCAGGTGGACGGATGACGGGGATGATCCTTGCTTGATGATTAGAGTGGGCGATGCAACAGCACTAGACGAGCGCAGGGCGGTAGACGATCCTTGGTGGCTGTGGCTCGGTTGTGTCCTGCCAGGGTCGCCAGATATTTTGACGTGGAACTGACCGTGAAGGTGATCCGTGAAGGTGATGTAGACGTTTATTGCATAAGGGCGATAAGCAAAGTGACAATTCGTAGCGAGCTTATATACCATGCTACTCTCCTCTTTTCGTATGCTATTTCCCGAAAGACAACATATTTCCGTCGACATCACATAATCAAAATACCACAAAATGACTTGTAGACCATTGACTCGGCCATGTTTCGCGATGAACCATAATTAAGAATTCCGTGGGAAGGATGTTTTTCATTTCTGTAGCGTTACAGAAAGAACGAAAGAAGAAAGGAAAAAAGAAAGAAGAACGCATGTACATTTTGAAAAAGCCTGTTGAATCCAGTTGCCCTGCAGATTAGGGATAGGCGCCGAAAAAGAATACCACTCAGAGAACTAAAAGATAACATACTTATCCGGGTAACTTTTCAAGCGGGCACAATCGTTATATTGGGTGCGGAGCAAGACCGGCCAAAGCTACAGACACAGTTCGTTTTAAAGACAGTGTCCAGACAGATCTGGGCATATGGGTTTTCACCTGGAAATTGATAGGGGGTCCTAACCAAGGCACTGCCCAAAGGGCACTGCAAATTGTTCATTCACGGCTGAGAAATCCGTCTCCAAAAAACCCAGAAAACCCAGCGCCTGTGCGATGACCGTAACCCGAAAACGACTTCGCTCACTTTAACATTACGTTCGCGCTGGGACTCTCTAAGTGTTACGGTCACGGCGCGGCCGCGGAGTGTTTGGGGATGGATTTCTCAGCCATGAATAAATCATTTGCGCCGCAGTTTGGACAGTGCCTTAGTTATTAGGGTGATCGGTAAAAAATGGGGCACCTAGAGAATAAATGTAGATTTCTCAAGAAAGAAAAGTAATTAAACTTGCCAATTTTGATGGATGTTAGAATAAATTATTCTCTTTCAGAAAATACATATATAAGGTTATTTACATACCTAATAATTTTTATGGTGGCTGAAATGCAAAGTTAGTCACTTTGACAAATTATAAACTTCGGGCAGTACCTGCGCAGTGAGACATTCGAAACCACCCATAAGTACTGCTGCTGCAATCCGTGAAGGTACAGTCACCAGACCCACGGTGGGTTGCGGTCCTCAACTTTCAAATTCAGGAGATATGGCCATTAGCATCGTTGAGAACAAAGATGCGTGCTATTCAATTTTTTGCAGGTAAACGCATGTTAATTAAGTACCATCTGAAAGAGCTTTTTACGCTCTATCTATTCATATGCAGTTTACCTCACATTTTATCTATCTTCGGAAAATACAGATTGAAACTTGATTTATTGGTTTTTGTTGCGCCAAAAAATCGCGATTTTTCAGGTATTTCCCTTTTTTTACCCGGAAGTAAAAAATAATCCTGTGTGTTTAATATACTGTTTGAAAGAGCATGATGAGCTCTTTCGAATGGTTTATCGATTGCTCTATGACTTTACGGTATGGCAGCGCAAGAATGAGCGGGGTTAAAAAAACCCTGTTCGCGTTCTTCAGGGCGCCACGCGTAGGGTTGTGGGAGAGGAGCGTTGACGTTTTGCCAATAATAGGCGAAGGTCGCTTTTATAAGCGACGTTTACGTTGCAGCCTGCTTGTTGTTGATCGAAACAAAAAATCTCAAAATCTAATAAAAATCAAGTTGCCTCATTTTTTACCGATCACCCTAGAACCTCCTCATTAGTTTCCAGGCAAAAAACTCATATCAGATTTGCCTGGACGCTGCTTGCAAGGCTTTAAGTCACAAACGTGTAGATATGCGTACTCTGTCGTTGAGTATGGCACATGAATGGGTGGGTTTGGAAACAGCTCAAATCTATGCTGTTCGCACAGTCGGTGAATGTCGAAATACTTCGCTCCACTTTCCGGAATGCTGCCATCAAAGGCATTACGAGCAGATTTTCGCATTTCCATCTTACTGCATGTTTTACACTCTCGACACATATAGAACCCAAATTTGAGCTTCGAATCGGACGAAAAGATCGTTTTGGGAGCGTTTATCCAATCTCTCAAAGTCGAAGCGTTTCAGTGAAAAGTCGGGAGGCCCTGGCACGAAAATCCTGCTGCATGTAACTTTTTGCTTCGTAGCATGCATACAGTCTGCCCAATCCCAATCAGACCAAAATTGGCATGGCGGGAGTCCGCGTCGTTAAAGTTTCGCGGTCACGCCCACGCCTGCTTGTCTGCTCCCTCTTCGATCTCCTCGCTCTCTCCAACAGCGCGCATATGCAGCGCAAACGACTAGCGCTGCGAGCGCGCAAATTTACGCCGACGGTTCGGCCTGATCCCGATTGGGGCAGACTGTACTACAGGAGTGGTTGTTTGGTCCCGTGCCGAATATGTAAGCGAAGACGTCTGAGCGCGCGCTTTTTTTCCATTCCAAAGCTATTTTCTCGGCGCATGGTAGATATCAACCAGCCGGATGAGTCTGGAGGTTAGAAGAGTGACCAGGCACTCTGTATAGCTCTGGTGTCTCCTCCAGAGCTATACAGGGTGCGATGCCGGGACACCGCCTTTAGGCATCATCTTACATATAAAGCTGAATGTCTGTTTGTCTTCTTATGTGTATGTATGTTCCGAATAGAAAATCTTATTTCTGAACCGCTCCGGACCAAACTTTGCACACACCCTTCGGGACCAAACGGACGTCATAAGTCACTTTTGGTCATCGATCAATATCAGTTTCATCGCTTTTGTCGATTTTTTGCAGAGTTCACCTACGGGGCTGGAATTTGGCACGGGGGGGGGGTAATCGAGCATGCTGCTTGCTAAAAAATGGTAGTGAATTGGCATGTAGACGTGGGCACAAGGAAAGGTTGTACAGGGATAGGGATAAGAACTTTATCATAGTGTTTTGGCAGGGCCGGACGGAGCCGGGTAAGCCAGTTAGTAGATCTTTATCTAGTCATTACTCCATGTCACTTTTTGAAAAATCTTCAGAAAATCGACTTCTTTTGAGGTTATGAGTGTCTCGCGAGGTCTACAAAATCATTGCTGGAATTTACAGTAATAGGTGTTTTTCCTAGCTTTTCATCCGTTCCTAGTCGCTAGAACTTGTATGTTTGATTATCACAATTCGTTTCGTTGGCTAGTTAAGACTTGGGGCTAAGCAATTAAAAAACCAGCCAATTAGTTTTGAATTCAGCAAAAGAATCGTGGGGTGATCTCGCAGCACCGTATTCAACAGTATTCAACAGCTCGGTAAGCTTCTGTTACACCTCTTCCTTATTCACAAACAATTAGATTTTTCCCATACAAACATTTCCGATAACTGTCGGCTTGACTATGAATCAGACCAAAACAATCTGATGTTTCCTAAGTGCAAATTTTTGGCCAAGTAAGAGTTATTTTTTTACTTGTTTACTTTCCATACCGTGCTTTTCCATTCTCTACCTTTTCCGTTTGATGTCATCGTTCATTGCATCACCCTTCTGGCAAATGTACGACGAAGTTGTGAACTATTATTGTACGTTGAAAAGTTTTGGAATAAAGGAGCATTCCGTGTAGAAAAATAATCGAGATGCCAAAGAACGAAACGATGAACTTTTAAATGTCTTTCTTGTTGAATATTTGACAAAAGCCATTCGGATACTTTTGAAGTGTTTTCAAGAGCAGTATTATATCATATAATTACTGAATAAGGCTAGAAGAGCAGGGAACGCAGTTTGATTTTTCCGTTGATTTACAAAGAAACAGACGATATGAGGACGTATTTATTTCTACAATACCAATCAATACGCTGTCAAGCACTATTCATATAATCTATGAAGATTAAAAGCCGATACCTACACACATGTTGGTGGATAAGACACATTCTCAATCCAAAATAGGAACCCGTTTTAGGATTACCCGCGAAGTTAATTAAGTAAAAGCTGAGCATCATTTACAATCAACCGAAAAAAACTTATCAGGCATTTTTTTGCCAAACGTTCGTGTAATTGCACCTACAAAATTGGTTGTGACGGTCCTCTCGCATTTATGTTGTGCTCGCCAAAACAAAGGGGAGGGGGAGACTGACAAGATCTGTGAGGTCAATAGAGGGAGTAAGGCCTTTTTCGACTACCTCTTTTTGTTCGCATGACGTACGCATATAAGTGCAAATTGTTTTTCCACTATGCAAATCGGTGCGACGCGCCAAACTTAGCCGGTGAAAAAATGTCTAAAATTTCCAGTTTGTTGCATCTTCTCATCACTATTTTGATATCGTACAATCGCATTATAACATCGGTAAGTTCTATGACAAAAATAGACAAAAGAATTTGTGTAGTTTTTTCTTAAAAGCACTGATTTTTTTCATAGTAATCCCTGATGTTGTTTACTCTCAGCTTTTTTCCTTTGTATATATCTTCGCAAAGCTTGCAGAGCGCATTGCTCACATAGGTGTTAGGTTTTCGAAAGTGCTTTGTCCATTCGAAATACCTAAAAACATCTTCATAAAAAAGTTTTCAGTGATATACGCAGCAAAAGCTCATGTTTCTTTTTGATCTCAGGCAAAGCTTTTGAGTCTGTTGCTTTAAAGTAGCATATATTAGGTTGAACCGAAAGTTCTGTCGTTTCATTTTCAAAAATTTGTAACTTCGCGAGATTTAAAAGGATTTGCTTGCTTGTAGTTTTATTGGAAAGAATAAATCTTTCGCTTTCAAACGCTGTTCTGTAGAGCCTTTGCTTGATACTGGGTGCGGAGATAAAAATGGAAAACTAAGATCATATAAACTTTGACCGTTTTAAGTTAGGTCACCAAAAATCTGGAATGCTGCAGAAAAATCTGAAATCGTCAGTACATATGTTTTTTGGCCTACTCTTTGCAATTGTGAAGAGTTTGTGCTGTTTGGACGTTTCTGTGAGAAGTTATGATTTTCGAGAAAATTGACAAATTAATTAATTTTGGCGTTTTTCATAGTGAACTCGATATTAACTTCTCACAGGGGCTTGCAAACAGCACAAACTCTCCACAGATGCAAAGGATATGCCAAAAAACATATGTACTGACGATTTTTTTGCAGCGTTCCAGATTTTTGGTGACCTAACTTAAAATGGTCAAAGCTTATATGGTCTTAGTCTTCCATTTTTATCTCTGCACTCAGTGTGAAACAGGAGCTCTACAAACAAGCGATTGAAAGCGGAAGACTTATTCTTTCTAATAAATTTACAAGCAAGCAAATCCGTTGAAAACTCGCGAAGTTCCAAATTTTTGAAAATGAAACGACGGAACTTTCGGTTCAACTCAATAATTCAAATTTGCATTTAACCAACCTAAGATACTCTGTATCGTTTTTACGCAGAAAGTTTAGATAGATTCCTAAGTCCTCAAGAGAATTGAAGTCATCTACGGCTATGAAGGAATGTTTTGGAAGGCCTGCTGCTGAAACAATCTCTTCATTAAACCTGCATTACAGTTGCCATTCTATATACCTTCATATATCCGTCTTTTCATCACAACAGGTACGAGTAATTCGGAGATTCGATTGAAATATTTCTCCGTAATGTAATCATTGCAGTTGCTGTTCTCAAATGAGATATAAAATCGGTGCGTGGCTGGAAATTTTTATTATTATTAGGAATAACTCGACTTTTCCTTTGTGCCTGGTGTTCACTGTTTATGATCAAACAGACCTATCAAGGCGTCGTCACTGCAATCTGTTTTGCAGGAAATGCTCTTGGTTTTGTTGTCAACCGATAGTTCATTTTCACACCTCCCTCTGACAGTAATTTCAGTAAGCTTGCCCAGCTGCCTGAAAGCGTGTAAGACAGTGATGAATCGCCACATCAATGTTGAGTTTGGAAACCTGATGGTTTTTTCACGCTTGGAGGGTGTATGACAATTTGAGACAAAAATCAGAGATCCTTTTTTCTTGCGTCTGACTGCAGCAACAATCTAAAAATCGCCTTGACATTATATCGCTTGAAATTCTTGTTCATTTCGTCCCTCCATTTTCCAGCGAATAATTGGCGTTGTAAGGAAGTGCCAATCGTGGAAGTCGGTAACAGGTTTTGGTTCTACTGCCGTATCAAAGGCCAAGTTTTATAAGATAGAAGCAGGTTTGAAACAGAGCTCCGAAGGTGACCCTTCTGGCAAAGTACAGAACGAAGCTAAAGGAAAAGTCGTGGTGTCAGCCTTCTCTTTTTTCTGCTTCTCACTTGATTAGATTTTGTAAAAGCTTCCAATATCACGTCAAGAGCTCTGTTATACGTAGCGTTTGTTCAGGAAAATTTCAAAAGCTCATTGTTCAAAAGATCAAAGAGGCATTCACTTAACTTAGCAATAACAACATAATTTCTTAGCTCAGAATTTATTGTTTTTTGCACATGCAAAGGATAAGGTGTAGAAGTTTGATAAAATTACCGTAGATGTTTTCAGCTCTGTAGACAAAACGGGAAAACCTATGTAATCAGATAGCTCGATTATTGAAACAGAATTTAGGGAGACTGAACAAATAAAGCGTCAGCTTGAGATCGTAAACACAGTTGATGCAGCAAGGAACGTAAAAGACTATCAACTACTCTCTCTTCAGCGTACCCAAGAGACACGAGACTAAAAATAAGAGTAATGGGAATTAGTGTTCACACACAGGACAGGGTCTTTGAAACAACTATTCGAAAAAATTGTGTTCTCCTCTGAAGCGACAAATTGCAAAAATTTTCATAATTTTCTAAGATTTACACAAGTCTCCGCGATCATCGAATGAAGGTATTGAAGAAGTCAACACAAACGAAGCAATTTTTCTGTAGACGCATTGTAGGTAAGGTGCTAAAAGTTGGAATATTTAGTCATTAATGTCTCATACGTAGAATGAGTTAATCACGAGTGCGCATGGATTTTCTCGTAGTGTGTATACTGGCACCGTAAGAATTATACTTCGTGGAGGTCGTTGCACAAATAATTGTCTCACAACTTCATGCTTGTATTGAAATGAATTGAAGCAGTACCTCCTCATTTGTTATTATACCGACAGTATCATTTGGTGTCCGTGGTTGAAAGTGACCATATGGATAGAAGTAGTTTGAGTCTAGTCTGTACGTCATAGTAGCATTGAAATAATCACGAGGCACCTTAATGAAAGAAAAAAATTCTATTGGCGCTCCATTATGTCATCCGCACAAAGGATAAGAGAAAATTTTATTCAAAATGAAATTTTGACATGTGGGTATTAGCCTGATTTGCCAAGAACATGCTGTCCTGCTTAGTAACGGTACTCGTTTGCAAAACCACTTCTCCACCACTTTCTCATTCTTTAGCAAACGTAATATTTTTCCAGTACTCTAATTATAATTTTTTGCATGTCAACAGAAGACTGAATGTGCAGCTCATTGAATGCACAGTTTCTTGGATTCAATGAGTTGCAATGGTTAGGTCATAGTCCGATGCAAACAGCTCTTGTAAGCAGAGCTTTTTACCAAATTTGAGAATAAAAAAACGCTGCAGTTTGTGATTTGAGTTCCTGAGGATCTATGCTCATTTGTACATTATTTGCAGTATCAATTTTTCCGATGTATGATTTCTGTAACAAAAAGGATCAAGATAAGGACGAATGACGAAGGGAGAGAGCGTTAACCTAGGGAGAAAATATTTTGGGTTTGATCGTCATAGCGATAGCGGCGCGTCATACCAAGGTACCAGAGTAATCTGGTGGGATGAAGACAGTGACTTGGGTAATCGAATGTAAGCCACAGTAATAGGCTCGCTTCAGTGGCCTCTTCTATTATGAATTATAGTGCGTTCAGAGTATGCCCACTGATTGTATCAAAGACTCCGAGTCCTTTATCCTTTAACCTTTGTTGTATCATTCTACTCGGCAGTCTATCGCACAGGATAAGTTGTAATACGGAACTTCCAACTGAAAGAAAGTTGGTCTGCATTGATTGTAAGCAGAGGTGCGATAGGTGGAGCCGGGCCCCCCAAAAGTGAAAATGGTTCCAGCTACCACTAGCCGGCCAAAAGTGAAGGTGGTAGTGCCGGACACTCACCTCCCAAAAATGTCGACCGGGGGGGGGGGGTAGAGAGGGGGGGGAGCACAGGACGGACTTTGGGTTTGGGTTTTTTGGGTTATTTTGTTTGGGGCTTTTTTTTCGGACTTTTGGGTATTGATTTTTTTGCTGAAACTGAAAAAAAGGAAATTAAGCAAATCGAACGCAAAAGAAAGTATTGAGAGCATATTCCATGTAGTTTATGTATTTGTGAGTGATACTCAGCTAGACTTTATGTGTTTTATTAAGTACATTACTTTATGTGTTTTATTAAGTACAGTACGTACTGCGAAGAAAGTAGGTCGATCCAGGCAGTAACCGCCGCCAGAATTTCGAATGATAAAATAATGAAAAATCGTGAAAAATCACTCCACTGTTACAAATCTGCTGGCTGAAGACCCTCTCAGTTGCGACTTTGAAGGGAAAGTGTTGTTCTACCAGACAGTGAAAGAATCAGATTGATTTGAGAAGTGGCCGCCGAAAACGAGAATTTCGAAAAACCTTAAAAATCTCAATTTAGGTTGCTTAATGACAACTGACATTTGAACTCTTATAAATCGGACTTTGAAGGTGTGTGACGTTGCAACTTCATAGGTTTTGTAGGGTGAGGTTTGCCCTATCAGAATATGTCTTAGCTGTACCGATCCATTCAAACATCGCCGAGATCCAGGTTTTAAAAAAGCAGGTAAAAAACCGTTTTTCAGCTCTTAACTTCTTAGAATTGCATAATTCATGTTGCGACTTCATAGGTTGCATTCTCCTCATCAAGGCATTCAAATGATATATAATATGTGGTGGACCCACGCCTCCCACGGCATATGCCCGGGGGTGGAGTACCTCTCTTCACTAATTCTCCACTGGCGTCTCCCGCCAATACATTGAAATGGGCGGGGTGGAGAATTAGTGAAGAGGAGTACTCCACCCCGGGTTAGAGCCGCAAGAAACATTAAATTCCTCATATATTATATATCATCTGAAAGCTATTGAGGAGAAGATAATCTATGAAGTCGCAACATGATTCATGCAGTTCTGAAGAAGTTATGAGCTGAAAAACGGCTTTTTTACCTGCTTTTTTAAGAGCCTGTATCTCGGCGATGTTTCAATGGATCGGTACAGCTAAGACATATTCTGATAGGGCAAACCTCACCCTACAAAACCTATGAAGCGCAACATCACACACCTTCAAGGTCCGGATTTATAAGAGTTTAAATGTCAGTTGTCATACAGCAACCTAAAATTGAGAAGATTTTTAAGGTTTTTCAAAATTCTCGTTCTCGGCGACCACTCCTCAAATCAATCTGATTCTTTCATTGTCTGGTAGAACAACACTTTCCCTTCAAAACCTATGAAGTCGCAACTGCGAGGGTCTTCAGCCAGCAGATTTGTAACAGTGGAATGATTTTCCATAATTTTTCATTATTTTATCATTAGAAATTCTGGTTCTCGGCGGTTACTGCCTGGATCGACCTACTGCATAGATAAAAAGGATAAAGGATTCGGCGTCCTCAATACCCTCTGAGGGCATGCGCCGAACGCACAGACTAACTTCATAGTCGAAGAGGCAATTGTATGCGTGCGGGCCTATTACAATGACTTGCGGGGGCCAGCCGTTTCCAAGTCAGTGCTTTTATCCTCCCAGATTACTCTAGTACCAATTTACCGGCCCCGGAGGGTAGAGGGCTTGGTTGGCCCAGGGGCGGGGATCGAACCTGTGTCCGATCTGGTCATAGCGGCGCCTCATACCACTACGCCACTTGTCCCCTACTGCATAGATATATGCTCTTAATACTTTCTTTTACAATTCTTTTGCTTATTTTCCTTTTTTTTGAGCTTTAGCAAAAAAATTTTTCAAACCCAAAAGTGAAGGTGGTCACTGTATACCAGCTCAAAAGTGAAGGTAGGCGGAGAATCGGCTCCGACTATCGCACCTCTTATTGTAAGATCTAGCATTTTTGGAACTCGGCACCAGGGAAGACCAGTGAATTTCGAGAACTGTTCTTCTTATCCAAAGGAATATGGCATACCCTATGTTGCCTGTAGAGAAAACATTCAGACAAGAGAACAGGAACACATCAAAAACCACATTGAAAAAAAGCAATAATTTTTGTATTATCTGCTTTTGGTGACATGAATAACTGGTGCGCATCGCGGTAGATGCTACGCCATTAAGATCATTTAGGAGTTAATGACTGGTTAGAAGATAGTAGATTCAGGATAGATAGAAACTATGCAAAAAAACCTGAAAAATTGTGCGAGGAAAAGGGAAAGTTGGCATTGTTTTGGAACATCGGTGGCTTCCAAATGACACCCTCGGGGCTTTATTACGCAATCAGTTCACCGCTCCACTTAGCGCATTTACACACCAAATTGGTGTTATATTAGGTTGTCTCGAGTAAACTCTTTTTCAAATAAAACAAGCCGTTCTTGTTTTCCTAGTAGAGTTAGGGTATCTTTTGATAGAGCAGATCAAGCTCTACAAAATGACCATCACCGCTTAAGTCGCATTCCGCGTAAAGTATGAAGCCAAAATCGAAAAAATTGTCAAATGGACATTGAATTTTTGTGAAAAAAATCCTACGGACCTCCAACTTGGTCGTTATAGACCTCGGACAGAGTTCACACGATTTGATCGTCGCGATTTTCATTCATTTTCATTTTACATTCAAAAATTTCGAGCTCGAAAAGTATCACAACCGAAATGCAAGATAATCGGCATGCAATGAACTCGTGACAGTTGTTTTGTAGCGATTGAATCGTGACGATTAAACCGCGTGAACTCTGTCCGAGACCATACATTAGGCACATAGTAGTACTCAAAAATTTTGCTGAATTTTTTTCGCGCATAGAAAGCTGGAAAATAGATGGTTCAAAATGGCAAACTTCGCCCCCAGCCCTCCAATATATGTCTTTGTAGACTGCAAGACTTAGTAAGTATAATCTCAAAACTTACTCCTGTAAGTGCTTTTATAATTGAGAAATACCAAGTTAGACATGAAAAAAGTGGCATTTTGGCATTTTCAAACCATCTTTGTTCCTCACTCTTGACCCCGGTGACTACTATTAGGTTGATGCATAATTCTTGCACCAAATTTTTGAAAATTCTGTTACTTCATCCAGCTGCGAGAAATCTTCTGGTTCGATACATGGGAGAGAGAGCAAATCTTGCGCTTTTTGACGGTGCTCGAGCCAAAAGTCCATGAAGGTATATGGCAAGTGAATAAGAGAAGTTTCCAAAAAATGTTTTTTGATTTTTAGTCATTAAAATTGCTAAAACGTTAGAATTTGAATTTATTTTTGGTCTAAGTTTTATGGCATGCTCTTTCTAACTAAGAGAAGTTGACAGTGATTAAATGTCTCTGCGAATATTTATTAATCTCGAATTTTTTTTAATGACATCGATTTTGTTTCAACTTGATTTTCTAATATGTACTATAAAATACTACTTTTGATATACATAACATAGAGCAGAACATGTAAGTTGACTAGTTTGTTTAAGCATTTGTGAAATAATTTTTTTGTATTTTTTGGTGCAAGAATTGTGCATCAACCTAATAATATGTCTGCTATACAAAAACGTGTCCGTAAGAATTTTTGAAAGGGGATCCAATCTCATAAGGCAGCTGATTAAATTTCGATTTTTGACTGCAGATTTCACCTAAATTACGAAACAGATGGATCCTTAGTGGTCTCTTGGTAGAGCTTGCTTCCGCTCTATCGGATGATATCATATCATCGGATTCCAGATTCGTGTGGAGGTGGAGTCTTACCGACTCACAGCGTGGCTGTTTTTGTTAGCGAGAGAGTACGGAAAGCAACGCTATATTGTGGAGGTTTAACAAGTTTATCCGTGCTACCAGGTAAAAGGTAAAGTCTGCAATACACTTCCACACGAATCTGGAAGCCGATCACAAGTCTGTTGGAAAAACAAAAATAGCTCAAGTTATCTGGAAATGGTGTTTTACTACGGGACAACCTAATAGTTTGCAAATTCGCTTAGTTTTGTTTTCCCGCGTTTTCAATAGAACAACATAAGAGGTCGACATTGGTACTGCAGAGGATGGGATCGGTTAGGCAGTGACAGTCAGAGCTTAGAGAGTAGGGTTAGGGTTATTTCAGAATGCGGTCGCTGCAACAACGAAGTCGATCGATCAGTATCTTTTGCCCGCTCCATTATGACTGCAGTTACTGCAGCAACTGCAACACGAAAAACTCTTACAGGGTGGGATGAAGTTTAGAGACGGATTTTACGTGTATGATAATGATGGTTGGTTTTGTCCAGAAGAGGGGAGAAAGCAGCAAGGGTTTTTTGGATTGAACGGCTTGAGATAGGTTAGCCAATTCTTCAGAGAATGTGTTATTACAAAATTCATAAGTTCAGATAAATTTGATTTTAACTGTCTTCTTCTAACAATACGATTATCTCTTTTATATAGTCCTTCATGTTATCCAATTGCCTCGAAAACGACATTCATTTACAGTCATTCGCAAAGACATTCATCTTTTAAGAACCGCAACGACATCCAACATACCCTTGACGTGCCGGAGCCTGCTTTTCGTTTGAAGAAGTTCAGTACAGCGACACATCTTTTGCAGGTAGAATACACATAATCGTGATGGTAATAATCAATAATTCAATCTATTTTGTATGACTTCTTGCAGTACACACCTGTGTGTTAAATTTTTCTTTTCAAAAGTCAGGAGCCGCATTTCTTTCCGTACTACAGCTAACTCAAATTAGAAATATAGACTTTGCTTTAAATGGGAGTGAAAAAATGATACCCACATACTCGATACATCTCAGATCCAGTGTGAAAAGGTGACTCCAATAGAAAAAGGACGTTAAGATGGTCTGCACTTTGTTTCGGAAGGTCGGTGAGTCTCATGTCGCGTCCATGCAAGATATAAGCGGCTGCACTCTTGTTTCTGAAAGAAATTCACTCAGATTTAGCGTTCCTTGTGTGGTAGGGCTAAGAAACCATAAAGTACAAAATTTTGAGCTCCTTTCTGTCGACGAAATCGCATCGGTAATTACAGTTCCGTAACGATGGCAGTAGAGAATCTTTCAAGTTTGCCGAGAAGAACTTTGTCCAGGCGACGATGATAGGAGTGCTCTGCAAAAGACTCTACCTAAAACTGAAAACGACGAAGCAATATAATTTGAGTCTTCAATTTAACCAATAAAGAATTTTTGTTGTGTGTAGCTCAAACTCATTCAGTAAGCTTTCTTCAAACCTCTAATTACCATGTGTCCACCATTTAGGTTGACAAATTCAAACCTGAAGTTCTTATTAAATCAGCAGGGAAATACTATGGAATTTTGGCACCATAGGAAAAGATATTTCTTTCTCTTTCATTCGGCCCACAACTTTTTTTTCAACAGATAAAATCAATAATTTTTGAGCGGTCAAATTGAGAGGAATCGTGTGACTCTGGCCAAGAAACAAAGCGACATCTCTTGTAATAAAAAAGTCTCAAAACAGCTCGTCGTAAAAACATATTCATCTCCTCTGAGAGCAAAGGACAAACGGTTTAAAAAAATTATTTACGTTCAAAAGTTAGAGGGTTTTCTATCCTGGAAACCGGTACATCTCCAAATATAGTCTGCACCCATATCATTGAGTACTTCGCACAGTGAAAACCGAGTAAAATTCGTGTTTTCTAAAAGCAGGATGGCCCCATCTTTGTCGTTGTTAAACTACAAAAGTTAAAAATTTCAGGTTTGCCAACGTAATTACGGACACACGGTGGAAAAGCACAGAAGAATGAAAGTTTTTTGAGGTTTTTCAATGCAAATGGGACATCAGCGTCTGCTTCTACTTGAAAAGCACTGCGCCTCACCAGTCAGCACCATGCTTGCAGTACAGTATTTTTTATATAAAAAGGAAATACTGCGCTTACGGCACTGTCTTGTGCTTTATAAAACCTCATGTCTCAAAAAGTATTCGATTCGAAACCGGCTCGCCTCGGGTACACCCTTCACTTTTTGATACACTAGTTTCGAGATAAGCTGCGAAGTTTGTATGCATGTAAAGGGGCCAATCTTGTACGAGTATCACACGAGATATTCCCTATCTTGTTTTCTATGAGAAGTTTTGAATAAATTTGTGACGCCCATACTTTGCAGTCTCCCTGTACTTAATCTGGTGTCGTACTATCTGGTGTCTACCTGCTACCTGCGAGGGAGTCAGCCGTTTACAACTCACAAGAGAAGGAAGGTTGGTCGAAATGGCCTTTCAAGATGCGGTGTACACTGTCTTGTAGAGCTTTGAATGCTGATTCCAAATCTATCTTTGCTATCTTGCTATTTGTGAGTAAAAATTTAAATGCAAGATTAGTATAAGATCATCAGTCGTAACTTTTTTTAACGTTTAAATGAGGCAGCAGCCAGTTGGCATATTTGAATCAAGAATATTTGTTGCACTGAGTAACCCGACTACCAGTTACATCCTAGAAAAAATGTTACGGCTGATTTTACACTAATCTTGCGTATAACTTTTTACCCTCAAAAACCTTCATAACTCCTCGCCCAGAAGCCATCAGCAGATAGCAAAGATAGATTTGGAATCAGCGTCCAAAGCTCTACATAACAGTGCCATCTCATCTCAAAAGGCCACTTCGACGAACCTTGCTTTCCTTGTCAGTACAAAAATATGGTCCTCAAAGCTGCGCCCTGAGCAAGATCTTATTTGAGCAAGTCACTCGCGTGAAATCTTGAGGCCTATGATGCACGGCTTTTTGCAGTGTACGCAGTGCTTATAAGCTGACATTTACAATAAGATCTTTGTTTTTTGCCCTTGTAAATCCACTATCCAAAAAAGTGCGTCTGTACCTGTGAGATAAAAATAACATGATTATGCTAAAAGTGGCAGAAAAGCAAAGTGAAAAATTTGTTCCCTACACTCCCATCAAAATTTTCAGCACCGTAGACTTTACTCGTTTGTTTCTATTTGACGCAACAAGAACTTACGACTGTTAACACATTGACAACAGCATGATTGGTTAGTCATCAATTACTATCACGAGAAAAAAGGGCCCACTACAGATTATGACTTGAGCATCTAAGGCTTTTGTGTGTACAGTGTAAAAGACAATCCGAGTGATTAGCAAAATCAATTATCACGAAAGCTTCGTTTAAGAAGGCAGAAGTAAAAATCGGTGTTGCCATCAAGTTATGAAATTACCTTAGCCAAAGTTTCATTTGGATTTTGAAACTTACTCGTGGTGCGTTCCGCATGTTCTGCGCATCTTGATAAAGTACAAAGGACGTTGATACAATTACAAACAGCAACAATGCAGCCACAGCAGCTTTGAGTGATGAGCCATTTTGATTTCCTGAAATTATAGTTGGGCAAACAAATCCTCTTGATGGTTTAGATAATCCTGAATGCATCTATGTAGAGAAAATTTATACCTACATGTCAGATGAGATAAACGAAAGTCTATACATAGAATGTCAAGGCTAGTAGGAAGGTTTGACTGCGGAAAAATCGCTCATCGCCTACTCAAAGCGATTTTTCAGACGCTCACCCACCACACTGTACTATACACACTTTTGGAAAACTTGCGCTAAATTGTTTGAAGTGCATTTATTCGAAAGAAATTCGAACAAACTTGGCGCCATATGCCCTGAGAGAACATTACATCTAACCAGAAAGGGTGTGGATTCACACACATCCCAGTATTTGCCAACATTCTACCGGCGCTAGGCATATACGTTAGCTTCATAGCAGTAAAATCATGCTTTCGGCTTTGTAAAAACTCTGGGTAGGCTATTTCAACAACTGTTGTGCGAGCTCTTGACTGCCAATCTGCCAACGATTAGACATATCCTGAGCAACCGACAATGCACATTCAGAGATTATAGCAAGAACATTTGAGAATCGGTTATCTTTGCGATCAAAAAAAAACAAAAGCAGAAGATGATTAGTGCACTGCGAGAACAGTAGATGGTAACAGGTTGAACTGACATATGAGAAACATTCCATACTATGTACTTCGCATAAGTGCATTCAGTGATTGGTAGTATGGTTTGTTCGATGACCATCCTTTTCTTATGCAAAGAGGAGGCGTTTGTAAGATGGAACAGTTCTAAATGAAATTCGCATTTGCAAAAAAAAATACAAAACTTTTCACAAAAAAAGAAGCCATTTGAGCGATAGGCCCATCGCTGGCGCAGAACTAGCGACGGCGACATTGCTGAGTTGGGGCGATGTCGCGATGATCTCTGCTGAGAGTATGCCCGTCTAATATGGACCGCGATTCGTCGCAGCCCCATCTAACACAGAACCAACGCCGGACCACACAGTTGGAGGCGCTTGCGGACTCGGAACATATGTCCGAGTTGGAAATTGCGAGCGATTGAGATCGCGGGAGGTATGCTTTAGGCCTAACAGTAGTGGGGCCCTACTGTACTATGCTTGCCCAAATCGCGCTGTCAAATGTTGCTTCGAAAGCGAGAAAATCGCCTCAACGTTGGCTCCTCTTCTATGAGTAGGAGTGACGTAAGCCCGCCCATCCGTGCGCACACAATCCACCGTTCCGGAGAACTCCCTACGGGTTCTGCGGAATGAGGAATGCCGAGTTTTTCGCGGATTCTCGACTTAATAATAGGAATCAGGGACATGAGAAAGCCTTTGAATGAAAAGACCTTAGATGGACGGTGGCTTTCAGAAAAGATTGTTGGATGGCGCGGATCGTTTACTAATTTTTAATGACGGAAAAAGGGATAACGGTTTGACCTTTCAGCGGAATAAAGATACTCTGAACAACGGAAGGTAGTCAAAACTCGAAGAGAACGCATTGGGGAGTTCAAAACAGCGCTCTGCAAAAGAAGCCAAAAAAGGCGGACCTCCCCCTTGAACAGAGAAACTAGAACCTTGCTGAAACAACCGTATCAGGTTGAAGCCCTGTTGTACACAGCTTGAGTTCTCGTTGTTGCCCTCGGGCGAGGCAGGTCAAAGAAGTGAGTTTAGAAAGTTTGACTAGCTACATTAAACACAGGAACGCTGACGAACCGCAGTCGATAATTATGTGATAGATCAGAGAAGCTACATAAAATGGAAAAGCACACCAAGGGCATCGACGAGAGATACCAACTCTACTAACACTGGAGAAAACAGTCGTCAAAAAGGAATAGCAATCATCGTCAGCGGTAAAAACCGCGAGTTGGTAATTGAAGTGACGCGTATTTCGAACAGACTGATGGCAGTCAAGATTGAAGCAGAAGACGTCACATTTCAAGTAATATCGTGCTGCGCTCCGCAACCCCGATGCACCGATGCTGAGAAGGACGCGTTTTGGAGATACTGCTACGAACATTTGATGAGGCTAATTAAAATATCATAGGGGGCGATCTTAACGGACACGTTGATCATGCATTTGATGGTTTGCGGAGGAAATGGTTACGATCAGAGGAATGAGGATGGCGAATGCACGACCTAGCCGTCACACCACATTCTATAAAAAGCGCGAATCACATTTGATCATGTATGCAAGTGGAGAGCGCTCAACTCAGATCGACTAGCCGACCACTCAGCCTGGACGCCGGTTTGTAGGCAAGCAGATCTGGTGGTGGTCCTAGTCAGTCCAGTGGCCGTATTCATCAACGAACCCTGAGGGTTAAACTAACCCTGGAGGGTTAGTTTAACCCTGGAAAGCGGTCAACCCGTATTCACGAAACACAGGCTTAACCCTGAGGGTTAAATCTAACCTTGAGGGTAAACCTTATCCCGAAAGCGATTAACTCGTGTTCATCAACGATTCCTGAGGTTTAAACTAACTCTGGAGGGTAAAACTTACGTAATTCATTAGGGTTAATTTAACCCTAGCTTAGAGCAAGGTTAACTCTACCCTAACACTTCATACAAACATTTACTCGCATCTGGTAGTCTTATGGAACTATCAAGGAGTATTGTAGTATTTAGCATTAGTTGTTGCTATAGTATTTAGCTTCGACTTCGTTTTATGTTCATATTCGAAATACATGAAACACTGACTTCGCGAGAAGAAGAATTCTAGCTTTGGTGACAAATGAATGCGACGAGGAAAAATGGTTGCGCATTTTACTCTGACAAGTGCCAAAATTGAAGAATCCCTTTATGATAACAGGCATTGACTCCTAAAAGAGTAGCACAAGCCTGGTATAAAACGAACTGCGCCAAAGTAGAATTTACACTGCACAAATGCACACATGAAAACAAATTCACGCTGTAAGATTGGATGCTGCACAAGTATGCTACAGATGTATTATAAAAACTAGTGTTAGAAGCCTATTCGTTGATTATACTACTATAACAGTGAAAGAATAGAAGCATAAAGTGAATTTAGGACGTACTCAGGCATTCTGTGATGTGAGTTTGCACGGAGCACGCGTAAACGACGCCTTAACCCTCCAGGGTTAGTTTAACCCTCAGGGTTGATGAATACGGCCACAGGTTCGTTGATCGATATGGGTGGATCGCGTTTCGTGGTAAACCCCACCCTATGGTTTATGAATACGGCCAATGAACCCTGAGGATTAAACAACCCTAAAGGGTAAGTTTAACCCTCAGTGTTCGTTGATGAATACGGCCACAGCAAGTCATCAAGGGGAAGAAAGAGATTTTCAAAATGTGGCAGCGCACTCGCGCAAGCGATGGTTTCCGTTGTCACCGGGAGCTGAAGCTAAAAAGAGCAAAGCGTGCAGTAATTGAGGCAAAGGAGACGCACTACCAGGAGTTTTACGATGACTTTGGAAGGACCAGTTGGAGCTAACAAGATAAATCAATTGGTTGCTGCTTGATACCAAGCGAAACAGGACTTCGACCACGTTATGCACCGAGAACAGGGGGGCTCCTGGCGAGCCGAAGGAAACATTCAAACGATAGAGCGATTACTATGAGAACTTATGCAATGAGGAGTTCCCGCGCCCACCAGTTTTGCAAGGAGCTTCAACTTTTGGGCCAGGCCCCAGATCGTGAAGGGGGAAGTTACGCAAGCACTTAAAAAAGATGTCAAATGGCCAAGCTGTAGAGCCATATGACATTCTTGAGGATATAGAAGTGGATTAGATTTTCTCAAATCACTCTTCAAATAAATCATCGCCGAGGGGAAGGTACCACGAATCTGGTCAACAAGCTCAGACAATCGCATCGGGAAGTTCGCGGGTGCTTGCTCGACCACCAATCATCCATGCCGCGAGCTGCCCGGTATAAACCGATATTGGACCCGATAGTGACCGCGGCGCACCCTGTAAGCGCCCGATAGTTGACCCGATTAGCACGCTTGTGAGACCCAGGAAGAGTGAAAAATCTTTTGCCATGTCTTTCATGACAACGACTTGAGCGCAAATTGAGCAACTTGTTAGCTCATCTGTCGACATCATCTACTGTCGTCGATAACACTCAACCGATTGCTGAAGTTTGTTTCGTGATTATATAAACTCAAGTGTCACACAACCCAACCCGAGAAGCGATCACCAGCCGCACAAACACTTAGGGTAGCTCCATCGCCGCGGCGTACCTCACGCGGGTTGCTTCTTAAGCTACAGCGTGTAAGAAGTGCGGCCTTTGATAAGGCCCGCGGTACGCCGAGTGAGGTAATTGGGCCGCGACTCTCCCGATAAGCTCTTTCCAATTTTAACTTTGGCCGCGGCGTTCCCGATAAAATTAACATGGGCCGCGGCATGCGCGGCTGGAATTTAAGGGCCGCAGCGCCCCATGTAGCACGCTTTGAGGCCGCGAACTTTCGATGCAATTGTCTGAGAGTGTTACATTTCTTATTTAGAAAAAAAAAAGGGCGACGTCAGTGATGTTCAACATACCAAACGATACGCGTCGCTTATGTCATACGATGTGGATCTTTGAGCGAGTTATCAACATGCCTATCCGGAATATCTGAGAGGCACTCCGATTCAATGCGATTTCGTGAAAGGGTCTGGTACCATTAACGTCACACCCGCCGTGCGATTACTGATGGAACGCCGCCAGCAGAAGCGAATTTCGATTCACTTCATACTCTTGATTTAGAAAAGGCGTTTGATCGAATACCACATGATGATTTGGTACGCACTGCGACAACACGACGTCCCAGAAGAGTATGTCCGCTGACTGAGCTTTTCCATACAAACACGAAGGGGGACATACGTTGTGTAGCAGGGACAGTAATGCCTTTTCCAATCCGAGTAGGAGTACTTCAAGGATCGGCGTTATCACCTTTTTCTTCAAATTGTGCATGGAGACCGTGACGAGAGACATCCAACTGCAGCACACATAGACGCTTCCGTACGCGGATGACGTGAATTTGGATCGAGGCAAGAGCTTGAAGAGGCAACCATGAGGTGGAAGACGCGTCTGTCCGAGTATGGCTTGCAGCTAACGTCGGAAAGACTGAGTATACATGGAATAGGAGAGCGATGATGAAAATGCAATGCCGCCGGTCTTGCGCCCGCGGCACAATGGCGGGATAAAGAAGAAGAAGAAGAAAGAGAGAGGAGAATGAGAAGACGCAGACATGAGTTTTTAGGACACGCATATGACATGCTGTGGCTGCGAAACGGCGGGAATAGTTGCGAAGCAGATGCCTGTAGTCCAATCTTCACTGTACCTGGGTTAAGGCGGGACACAATAACAACTTGGGAAGTGTTGTTGATGGCTATGTGGTTTTATGGGCAATATTGCATCGGAAGTCCAGTTAAGCAAATTATTTGGGACTACATTTAGCAGGAAACAAACTCAAGGACTTCTTGCGAAAAAATATCGCGGACTTCTTTTTGCATCTTCATGCATGTGAAAAGGTGCGTGTTTGTTGCAGATGAACGCGGAGACATTTCGGCGACATATAGTCCTCTACCCGAAGATCCGAGAATTTCCAAATGACTCGGTTAGTTTTTGCATCCTTAGGTGGTAAAGAGCTTGAGCTTAGTGTCCATCTGGCAACAAAAATCGCGCCTCTTGACATACACCCGAGTATAAGCAGGACGAAGAAATGAAGAAGGTGCTTCTTAAAGCCAAGTTTTGTATCAGCATGGCTCCAATGTCAACTCGTACGATGGGATGATGAACGTGATGTAATATCATTTTTATCAGCTGCGGTAAACATCCAAGTTTGTGATTTCCATTTCTCCTTCAAAAAAAATCTTGAAATAATCGTACTCTGCGCTGCCAAACGCTGCAAACTACACGCATAGTTTATTAGAACTTGCTTAAACTGGCGCCTCAGCTCTCAGCTTTTTTATGTGGCTTTTTTTGCAAACTGTTCGAATGTTTTATCCATACGTTTCAGGAAATTCATTCCTGCTTAGCAGTCTTTCTGCATTACTAAGAATGTGTGCGAGAAGGCTTGGAAGGAGGTTTTACGAATTCTTCATGGTTATGTAGTCTGCAGCGTTTTTTTTTTGCAAAAGGACAACCAACGGGGTAAAGATTGAATTAAACCAATGTAACCCACCTTTAGAGTTGGGAAGTTGCTCGTAACGTACCCGCATCCTAGAAATTAACAATCATTCATGCTGATTTGCGTATGTAAGTTATCTATGGAGTTCTAGTAACTATAAAACATTGAGTATATATTTATATAGTTTTCTGCTATTCTGACTTCTTTGTGATCCAATAGCCCTTTGTGTGTTCCTAAATCTGCATATTGTTTGGAGTTAGTACGGAACTTAAATCGAGAAGAAAATTCAATCTATGAAACTCGTTTAACCCTCTAAAAAATTTCAAGTATTTAAACTATTAGGAATTGGCTAACTTGTGCATAGGCTTGCCGCAAATGTTCTACTCGTTTTCGAAATTTAGTTCAATTCGCCATAACTCTTTTCATTCTAACGTGATAAATTGTTTACAATCTAATCTTTGTTCCATGTATATCATTAATTATTGCAGCAACTGCAGTAGGACTTGCTGCTACATAGATTGCTGAACACTATCTTGGTAATCTCCTACTCTGAGAATCCATAACTCAATCCGATGTGTACTAAGGTAACATGAGCTCTGCTTATTGTGTATCCAGTGGTCGACTATGATTTAGCCTCGCATTTTATAGAAGTTTTTCGCAAAAAAATTGCAAAACAAGTGGTTCTCTTCAAAATGGCAGAAATGCACGGCATGAAGGTGGCAAATACCAAGCTGGAAATTGTTTCAGGTTGAAAAACAAAAAGCATTGTCTAAATACACGTTCATCAGCACATGCGCATCTTCTTAGGCCGAAAACATACCTCACGCAATTTCAATCGCGACGCGATCTGGCAATACTCCAATTGGTCAAAACTCATCGTGGTAGGTTTCTGAATGTACGGGAAATAGGACATTTTATCAACCTATGAAAGTTTTATTGCTGCACTTTGGCGTCTACCAGTATCGAATTAGATATCTGGCAAAATGCCAAATCGCATGTCGACTGAAATCGCGTGAGGTATGCCTTGGGCCTTAAAGGAGATGGGGCGGCAAAATGGACCCGTCCCGGATCTTGGTGGTATTAAGTAGTAGATCCCCTCTCCAGGTACACTGTAGCCCCTATCCCAACTGCCAAATCTCATGCGCTGAGTCCTGAAAAATGCGCTCAAAATCTCCACCGTCACCGTCCACTCAATGGATGGGCAGGATCGGTGGAGTTTTGAAGTACATTTTTCAAAATTTAGAGCATGAATTGGCAGGTGGGGTTGGGCTCCAGTGTAAGTGGGTGGGGTTTACTACCTAACAAACACGATTTTGCTGGAAGTGTCAGTTTGAAAAAAGGTCTATCGTGCACACGCAATAATATGACACCAAACTTGAATAAACAGACAAAGGCTAAAAGGAGCATATTACAGAGAACTGTGAAGAAATATATGATTGGAGGTTGTAGCAAACTTTTTTCTGGAAAGCCTTCTCAGCGAAAAGTGGAAACATGATTCATTCGCACCGCACAGCCAACGATATGGCTCAAACTTAGTGCGCATATGCGTAATAAGGGATAATAAGTACTAAATCACGTGACTTATGTGGATGAAGAGCGTGCTCACTTTTCTCCAGATTGGTAAGAGTGGGAATTTCCATCCTAATTCCAGCCTGAGGGTGGCAAAACTTTCAGTTTACGTAAGTTTTCAAAATTCCTACATTGATTTGTTCTACACCTAGAATTTACATAGTAGTAGTGACTTGATTACTATTACCCTTTCCTGGAATACAAAGAGCAATGAAGCCGCCCCTTTCGAAGAGAAAGCGCGCTCCAATCAAACGACCCACGCAGCTGGCGCGATCGAGTGGGAAATCGTAAAAATCGAAAGTGGCAGGGCGAATCCGTTTCACAGGTGTCCATTTGCCATCTTGGATCAAGATTGTAAAATTCGATTATTCTATATGTCACAAAAATATCTCATCATGTGAAGTCATTCAGAATCTTTTTGCACTCGAAACCTCATTTACTGCAAACAGTGTTTTCTTTGTTCACAGATCAAATTTCCAAAAGTCTATGTTATATACTATGGATTTTCAGCAAACAATTCATCAAGATTAAAGTAGTAAAATAAAGAAGATTAGACTTTTGAAAGTCATAACTTTTCAAACTCAAGCACTTTCTTTAAATGTACCATTCACGCTTGAAAGGTATCAATATTGGAACGAAAATAAAATAGCGAATTGAATGAAGTTTTGTCTGAGAACGGTGCGAGGGCAGTAAGTGGTACAGACAAAGTTTGTCTGGTATTTTGGATCGAAATGATCTTACCCGATGAGAGAATTCACTTTGATGATTTACAAAATCTTGGAATTAGATGAAATCATAATGTTTTGAAGGCTCTACGCGTTTGGCTTTCTGCCACATGAATTACAGCATCAAGCAGCAGTACGCTATCGCTGAAAAGCCCGTAGAAATTTTAGGAAAGTTTTGCTTTTGAAGAGAGTGCCACAAAATAAGATTGAACAAAGTATGCTAGAGATAAACCTCCACGACCAAGCTTGACAATATCTGGCAGCCAGTTATAGCAAAGACTCATAAAGTTCATATATTTGCAGTGGACCAGAAAAATGTTTACGCATTATAAACATAGGTTGCACTTCGTGAAAATCGAAAAATGGAAATGTTAGAATATTTGAACATAAGAATAGGCTGAGAATGCTGTTGCTTTGTACAATTTTTTTGTAAAATTTTAAATGTTCGATACTGACAAGGAAACCGTGTCGAGTCGAAGTGGCCTTTCCAGATGAGACTCATACAGCTTAAAAGAGTATTAAACGGTGATTCCAAATCTGCCTTCCAAATCTGCCAAGCGCCTCTGGACCCCGAGTTATGACCGTTCTTCGGAACGAAAAATGAATGCAGAATTTAGGTAAAATTGATTGTTACAATCTTTCCAGCGCTCAGATAAAGCAATATTAAGTATTATCATATTGAATAAAATGTACCCATTGCATAAACAGCTCTGATACTTGACACTGGACCATTTGAGCAAATTTGGGCGATTTTGCTTCGGTTTTGCCTTTAATTTTTTGACCTGAAAAACGAGCATAACTCGGCGTCCAGAGGCGCTTGGCAGATTTGGAAAGCAGATTTGGAATCACCGATTAATGCTCTTCAGAGCACTATGGGACTCATCTGGAAAGGCCACTTCGACTCGACACGGTTCCCTTGTGAGTTGTATAATGGAATGTAGCGAGCGATGCATACCGAAAGAAATCGATGCCAAATTATTCGTTTATGAATATTTCATAACGACCTGATTTTAGAGGTGATGAATTGAACGGGATGTGAATTCTGAATTCATATGAGCAACGGTGATAAGCGCTGACACACTGCATGATAATGGTCATTTCAAACTGTTTACATGAATATAACAATTCGCTACACCTACTATGTAATATCGCTTTCGTTGGATAAGCTGGCTACGTTTGTTTGGAAAGAAATATTTTCGTTATGATGAAAGGGCGCAGGGAAGGTAATCCGATTATTTCACCTGATATTTTCATCTCATTTTTGAAAGGTCAACCCCAAACAAGCGAACTCACTGCGGATGTAAAACGTTGAGTGGTAACAACACATATGGTTTTTAACATTTCGAAATTTTTGTGATTTTAGAGGTTGGACCTAGCAGTCTGAAATACACTCCAGATCGGCTTCAGGGCAAGAGCAGATTCTCATATTTTTGGCTGAAACAGCTTCTACAGAACATAATCCTCATCTGCCGCTCAGTAGCGAAAGCTTCCATCTTCTACATAAAATTCCTCGTCTGCGCAATCATTTTAGAATAAAAAGACTACAGAGCAATAGAGCTGGTTTTCTTTGAAAGCGCGACAAATTAGTGCCTGGAAATCATAGAATTTTCAGCAGTCCGTTATGTGATAGTAAACCCTTAAACCTCTCCAAATTTGCATCGAAATTAGTTAAAGCTAACGTTTATATAGATTTCACTTTGAAAGGTACAGCTTTTTATACGAACTTGAAGGTGTAAGACCATAAAAAATTGAACTAAATGTTTAGAAATATAGTGGTTCCTGAAAAACTGCAAAATTTGCGGCATTCATCTCTGTTCAATTTTTACTAGTTTTTGACTTTCTAAATTGCTTTAGGCGAATCTAGCAGATAGAGTTGATATTCTATATGCATAAGGTGCAAAAGGATGAGCTTTTTTTGTAAAATTCAAAATTTCTGGCTTTCGAAATTCCAAAAAATATTTTTGCGGAAAATCTCGATTTTCAATGATAATAGGCCAATGGTTTTTTCATGGTAAAAATTTTAGCTTATACGGGGTGTCCAAAAGATGTGCACACTGTTTGATCGCTAATAACTCTGCTGCTTTCATGTCTTTTGCCGAGCTTAAGGTGCCATTCTGTAGAGCGAGTTTTAACTTACAAGGGAACCGTGTAGAGTCGAAGTGGCCTTTCCAGAGAGACCCATACTGCTTTGAAGAGTACTAAGCGATGATCCCAAATCTGCTTTCCCGCCAAGCGCCTCTGGACGCCGAGTTATGACCGTTCTTCGGAACGAAAAATGAACGCAGAATTTAGGTGAATTTGATTGTTACAATCTTTCCAGCGCTCACATCAAGCAATGTTAAGTATTAGCATGTTAAATAAAATGTATCCATTGCATAAACAGCTCCGATACTTGACACTGGACCATTTGAGCAAATTTGGGCAATTTTGCCTCAGTTTTGCGTTCAATTTTTTGAATTGAAAAACGAGCATAACTCGGCATCCAGAGGCGCTTGGCAGATTTGGAAAGCAGATTTGGAATCATCGCTTAATACTCTTCAAAGCAGTATGGGTCTCACCTGGAAAGGCCACTTCGACTCGACACAGTTCCCTTGTTAGATCTGTGTGGAGCGAATGACCGATTGCTCTTCATTACTCTAAGATTACGGTAAGAACTTCGAGGAGGATATTAAGCCGTTGAAAGCGGTAATTTGCTGGTAATTTGCCTCAGAAAGGAAGCCAAACAAGCCAGAAACTCCTGAATGGGCTAATCGAAGACGGTGAGACTAAACATGGAATTTGCACTTTAGTACAGCGCTTCTTTCATAAGTTATTTCAGATTTAGGGTAATAACTTTTTCCAATCTTCATCAGGTATATGAATACGCCATCAAGAAAGCTCGAAAAACTCATGAAAAGTCATGTAGTGAAATCAGCGTGCCTGAAAACCTTGCCATACAATTTTCAGATTTTTTTCGAAAATATTTCATCGAAAGGTCTACACAGTGACGCTGTATGCTGGAAGTTCATACCGTAATCTTAGAGTAATGAAGAGCAATCGGTCATTCGCTCCACACAGCAAATCTAAGTTAAAGCTCGCTCTACAGAATGGCACTTTAAGCTCGGCAAAAGACATGAAAGCAGGAGAGTTATTAACGATCAAACAGTGTGCACATTTTTTTGGGACACCCTGTATATCTTTACTTCCTTGCTTCAAGTTATAGACTGTTCCAGCGATATAATTTTGAATGATTTTCTACGAGATTTTGCTGCATTTTGACAGCATCTACGGCGACTTTGAAGTGCACAAAATTTTTAAGTCATTTTTGAATGTTGCATCAAAACGGGTTTGAAAAGTCACAACCTTCTCTAATGTAAACATTCCGGATACTCTAGAATTTTTCGTTCTGTGAAAACTCGTGAAAGCGATAAAACCGTAAAAATAATGAAATAGGAGAGAAACACTTCAATAGTTCATCGGATGCTTTTGACTAACTTTCATGTTCAATTTCTACTAAATTCTCATAAAATTAAATGACAAACCAAAAAATCGTAGATCTCACCCTTATGTCTCAATAATAATGAAGCCTGACATGAGAGTAAAGTGTCGTGAGTCGCAACAAAGCCACATTAGGCTTGCAAACAGTTACTGGGGCAACTGCACCAAGCGAACATCGCGACGCAATTATCGATATTTTTTGGCTACTTAGTGATATTTAGAGCGATATTTGACAGAGCATGTATAATAGTGTTTAGTCTTTATGATATGAGACGAGAATCACTTTTTCCGAATTTGTGATGTTGTCAAATTCGGGCGGATTATCCAAATTCTAAAGATCAATACAATTCGTAACGATAGAGGTCGAATGAGGGATGCAGAGAGTGGAAGAGTTGTTTGATTTTGGGCATCAACAAGAATAACAATGTCGATTTATGGACATAATTGTTCAGATCCTCCTACACTTGTGTTTGCTGCAAAAGTCGGCATACTGCCACTGAACTCCAGTAGAAAAAAATGAATCGTTATCTTGGAAAATGAAAAATGAGGATTTTCTGTGGAAGGTGATACCAGTGCCTCTTGAAGAGCGAAGCAAGCTCTACAAAACAATATCCAAATATTGCACAAAATGTGGTCAACTAAAGTTGTCAGTTAAAAAGTTAAAAAGTTGTCAGTTAAAGTTAAAAATCTCAAAAAAAATCTCAAAAAAAATCAAAAAAAATCGAAAAATTTAAAAAATGATATCTTCGTACAAAAAATTTCTGCAGACTATCGACTTGCCCAGACATATATGCTCCACCTGAAGATTCATTTGTACATACGTTTTCGTGTTTTCCTTTCCTCAAGATCGAGATACACAAGTAGATCAGAATAGGCCAAAAATGAAATGTCGCCATTTTTGAGGATTTCTGATCTGAATTGATTCTTTCTCAGAAACTAACATTTTCAGGCGGCTAAAAATTTATGACTATACTTTCATAGTCATATAATAAAAATACCTATTTGGAACTCCAGCACAACTTCACAAAAAATGAAAACTATTGCCTTTTTTAAATTCTAGGCATGAGATAAATTAATTGTCAGATCTGAACAAAACGGATGTCCGTAAAAATTTGTTAATGGTAATGCACTGATTTTTTTTTTAATTTAGATGTCTTTAGTTTTTGGCTTCGAACACCATGTGCAACAAACTTTTTGTAAATGTTTGGAAAAACATCCTGTAGAGCTTGAATTGCCCTATCGAATAGTTCTCTAAAGCCTACTTAAGAAACAAATGTACATGAATAATTGCGAGGAAAAGCAATACGGTTAATTATGTAATAGCCTGATAATTCCCGTATTCAAAAAACAGGAAATAAACTGACTCCAAAGCCGCTTTATGCCTTAGTACTGACTCAGTTTCCTTTTTTAAAAGTGAAAGGCAAAAGATTAAAGGCATAATACGCTTTATCTATGAGTTATTATGAAATACATTGATACGTTAATTGTCAGAAGGGAAAAGAATGCTTTGTTAATAAATATAAAAGTAAAACCAAGCCAGCCAACTAAGCCAATACTTTCATTAAAAAACTGGGAGAGATTTCTAGTAGTGAAAAAACAGCAGAAACAAATGAGATTTCCCTCAACAACAGTCAGCGTTGCCAACAGAAAAACTAGCAAAGCTGGCTCATTAGGATATAGAGTCTTAGCTGGTTAGAATTAGTAATTTTTTATATACTAAGCAAACATAGTAGTTTAGCCAAAAGTGCTGCGTGAACAGCAAAAATAGTTAAATCGTTTCATCAGAAAGTATGAACTATCGGCTTGAAGTACGCAAACCTTAATATAGGTGCAGCTATTCTGTGGCGTGACAGCCTTGCTGAATAGATTTTCTGTTTGCCTTTAGATAAAGGAATTAAACAATCAAAAGCGCAGCCACTGTCAAGATGCCTATCTTCCTATTTACTTAATTCCTCTTGATTATTCACCTTATCGGTTGTTTGTGCAAAGGGACTATCAAAGAACAGGATCGAGTAATCCTTCTCTGAAGAACTTCTTACTTCAAAAATAGGTATTCACTGACTACAGCATTGTGAAAGTATTGTACTTGATTGTTTACATTTTGCTTACTTATCAAAGTTCTGGGCTGTAAACACAAGGCTTTTAGATCAACAGATCCTGCTGACAAGATATTCTTTCAAGTTGGAACCTTGTGGGAAGCTTTACGTTCGATTATGCGAGGTTTTGCGAAGCAGCAGAAGTGTCGCCAATAATAGCAATCATGACCATTACAGAGTACCAAAATCTGACATATTCCCACTACTTTGTTTCTTCCGTTTTCTTCTATATCTCAAAATTCTCAATGCATATTTTGCAATGACAACAATGCTGTAATCAGAGCCCAACATGAATGTGACAAGTGTGAAGAAGGATATTAGGAGATCATAACCAAAAAGCTCCTCTATCAAAACAAGAAGGTAAGAGTTTCATTTCTCGCTTCTAAACCAGCTCAAGGATCCCGATGTGAGAGAAGCTGACATTCTGTATGTCCTACCAGCCAATTTATTGATAAGCCATACTTTGGAGTACTTCGAGCAAACAATCGAAACGCACCTTTTAGAAATCAAAAATTGGCAGCGAACCATTGCGTCTCGTTGAAAGGAGCCCATTCGTTTGAATAGAGCGGAAAATTGAAAACAGAAGTAGGGGGAATTGTTTGTGTCTACCTGAACTTGGAAAACCCTTCGATAAGGTGCCTTATAAAGATATAGTGGGCCTTACGGAAATACAGAAATACATGGAGTTGGAGAAGTATTATATGAATGAAATGATTTACCACAACGCTTAAGATCAAGTACAAAGAGCTGCATAGCAGTGGCGTACCCAGGATTTCGGCTCGGGGAGGGGGGGGGGGCGCGACAAAAAAATTTTTCTAATGAAGGTGCGTGGCGTCAGCCACGCACTCCGAAAATTTTTTTGGGGTGCTTATCAAAATTTTTGCGGGTCCCCGACCTCTAAAATCTGGAAAAAGGGGGCGTGGCGTCAGACACGCCTCCGAAAAAAATTTTTTTACAACGCTAATTTGAATTTTTGAAAATTTTTAAAAATTATTTTAATTATTTACAAAAATAAACAAGTCACTTGCACATCTTTATAACCCATATAAGTAGCTTTCAAAAATTTCGCGACCCATTCTCAGGGGGGGGGGTGGGGCGCCCCCTCCCCGCTCCCCCCCTCGGTACGCCACTGCTGCATAGCAACTGAAAGGGTCTTAAATTAAAAGTATTGAGATTCATTCTTCCTTCCGGGCTCTTCTACTCAATGATAAAAGTCGCGATTGACCCTTCAAGCGTGAATCTCCTCAATTCTCTCCGCAGACGATGTGGTGTTGAAAGAAATAACAAGGAACTCAGAAGCTAAGGTACAAATTGGAAAGAAGGCTGCATATGGCTTCAGTCACATCTCAGCGAAAGGAGACTTATGAGAGAGTTTGTATATCAAAGGATGATGAAAAGTGTGGGCGTCACACTTTTGTTTGCAACGATTTCAAACGAAATAAAGTATAAAATTATTTTTGCATGCCTAAACGGAGACATTTTCATATACTAATTTGAAAATACTGGGCTTCCGCACATACACTGTGACTTCAGCAGCTCATTTTGAAGCTAATGCGTCTAAAATTGCCATGCAAAGTGTGTAGTCGTTGCGATGATCGATCACGAAACAAACAAATTTTAAGAATAGGATTTTGTGGGGCCCAGTTTGAGGAATAATCCTTTGCCTAATAATTAATTTAATTTCTCCAAGATAGAATACGGTGTCATAATCATGATGCTGGCTGATTGCTCCGCAGTGACTATCAACTGGTAGCAGATTCCGGAGCATTAGAAGACTACAGTTCTCGCGACTTTCACATGTCTCAATATACAGACCGTTTATAAGCCATAGGCATATTAGCCTTCATAAAAGAATATTTTCACAGAAATATATATCACATGTCGTGACGCCCATACTTGGCAACCCTGTACATTGCCATGTTTGCACCTTTCGGTGATTTCTTCAATCAATTTCCTTGAGAAGCTAAAGATGCAATCTGCAACACCAATTCACCACATATCTCTTCTCCTGCTCCGCTGATTTTAACATTCATCATTCGGGCCTCAGAATCTCCTTACAAAGGAACGATCCCAACTTAATGTGGCGATTTGGAATGAACCGCATATCATTAGATGCGCCTTGATTAGCTGATTCCTATAGTCGATTCGTTGACCGACGGACTGGACATGACTGCGGAACATGCGCTGCGAGATAAAACGCTTGCCCCAACACAAATTCGCCATTGTACAAGTCGTGCTCTCGCAACATTTTAGCCGTTGACCGCACGGACTGCTCGCGTGGTCCGCCGCGCGTGGTCCGCAGCGGCGGACCACGCGCGGCGGACCACGCGAGCAGTCCGTGCGGTCAACGAATCGACGATACCTTCCATATCTGCAATACCGCTCTCTGCAAAAACTTATGAGCGGTTGGAAATGTGAGCAATGGTCGGTGCATAATGTGCTCCAATATCCAGCTTGGAAGTGTCTGATTAGCATGATACTGAGTGTACTGATTTCAAGAAATGCTTACATTCAAAAGAAACACAAATAAGTGCTTTTGAACTACTAAAAAGCAACTAAAGTTCTTTGGTAAAGCTATGAACAATGAAAAATCCAAATTTGGCAAATATACAGCACCATACCCTGAGAATATCCTTCAAAAACACTTATTTGTGTTTCTATTAAATGTGAGCATTCATTAATCAGTCATTCAATATCATGCTAGTCATACACTCCCAAGTTGAATTTTGAAGCACATTATGCATTAAAACCCCATTGACTTCACATTTTCAACCGCTTATAACTTTTTGCGAGAACGGCATCGCAGATAGAAAGGTAGATTTGGAATGACATCCAGCTCATCAAGACACATCTAATGATTTGCGGTTCCATCCCATTCGCCACCTCAAAGGCACCGTCCACCCAAAATCTCGAATTCAATATTTTTGTCGCCTTCAGGCCTTTTGAAGGCCCTGATTCCGGATATGGAGTCGAAAATCCGCGAAACCCCTAAAAATCCCTGTCTGAATCAATTCGAAGTGCTTGAATTTTGTCGCTTGAGAAGAATTTCTAAGCTTTCTTGAAAGATAGAAACAAGAACTCAGTTTATAATTGTATCCAAAAGTATCTATGTTGTACACGATACACTCATTATTGAAATCACGGTTTTTCTCATTAAATTTGAAGCAAAGAAAAGTTGCGACGTCGCACGCGCTTTCGCGTTGCCGCGCTTCGTTGAAACTGTTGTTCGATTTGTCCTCACCTAAACAAATGTCGGCCGCACAGCTCTAAGGGTTATTTGAAAAGTAGAAGCCTAGGCCTTTGACTTGATAACCTTGGACAGAAAGAAAATCTCCTGCAAACATTGAAAAGTCCTTCAAATCCGCGTGCTGCATCATGTGCAGCACCGGTCCGAAACGTGTTAAATTATGTTTGGAAAATTACCGAAAAGTGAGAATTCGTAAACGAATCCCGTGCGAGGTTTTTTCCCGGATAGCTGGCGTTTTAACTAAGTGTTGGCTAAAGTAAACGAATCTTTTGCTCACTTTCGGAGTTTTTTGAATCTTAACTTTATATTGAGTGTAAGTAATTTCAAAGTCGCTTAAAACCCCCTATCTTCTACTCTAACGCCCCATTCGGAACTGGCGCACATATCTCCGTTCGCAAAGCCCCGCGTCAGGGACAATGGAAGCGCCCTGGAGTCAACTTCAATCAATTAGTTTTGGTTTTTTAGCTACGCTACAATTTTCCGTTAATTTGAATTCTAGGATTCTTCTCTTAGTGCTTCATAGTTCCTTTATCTTTGAGCTCATCAACATGCCGTAAACAAAGTGCTTTCTTGCTTTTTTTCTTACCCATTTCACTACCTTTGCCTCAACATTACCATATTTCGAAATTTAAGTGGATTCACGCGTCGTGCACGATGGCGCTGACTTCCTTGAGAGTTGATACGTGAATTTTTTTCTGGGTTTCTCGAGGGAGGAGAAAAGCGAAGGTAATGGTGTATCGATATGAGGCGCCTTAAATTGCGATTCAGGGCAAAATTGCCCCTAAGTTATAACTGTAAAAGTCTGAAATGTACACTTCAACTCGGGAGAGAGGATCCAGAGTTTACACTGTCCGCCAGAGCTAATCGGATTCGGTGCAAACCGAATCAAGCAAACAAATATTTCAGGCCGTTATCATACAGATTTTGTTGAGGACGGTCGACGGTCACTCCGCAAAAAAAGTTCTTCTGTCTCCATTTCGAAGTGTCCAAAATTAGCGTTGATAAAGAAAATAACAATAGGTTCACTGTCACAAAGTTTAGCGGGGTGAATCTTTGAGATGAAAATAACTAAGCAGGAGGAGAATTGAGTTGTCCAATGATGCAGATGATGTTTGAAGGGTAGATATTTTTGGGAAATGCCTTTATTTGTTAGGCGCTATGTGCGTGCGAATGCTCCCCGGAATTTCGGTGTACGATTTTATCGATATTTTTTGCATACCTAGAGTGAAAAGCTGGAGTTGTATGGAGGTGTCAGCGAGAATGCTGCTTGTGAACTAGTCACCTTGAAAATCATTGAGTACTTTTATCATTCACCGGATATTGAAAAGTTTAAGCTGAGGCGCGAGGAGTTGGTAAGGGCGGGGGGGGGGGGGGGAGGGAGGGCTAAAAGCCGCGTCCAGGCAAAATCTCGACTTCTACTTTTTTGCTTATCCAGGCCTTTTCATGGCGCTGATTTCAAATATGGTACTCAAACTGCGTGAAATCCTGAGAAAAAACCATTTTTAGAAAACTTTGTGAAAAGCCTGGATGAGTGCTTCTAATGCTATTATTGTGGAAAGCAAGCATTAACAGGTAGACACCATGTGTTCCATTATGTTTACCACGTGAAACGTCAACCTGGGAATCCGTTCAAGGGGGCGGGCCGTGCGAGGTAGCGGGCGTGGTCCTCGAGGCTAGGCATTTTCTGCGCCATTTTTCTCCTTTTACGAGGGGTGTTTGAAAGTCGGATCAGCGCGATAGCTCTAGATCGAGGCTCTAATACTCGAATATGACATATCAGAAAATTGTCAAATCTGCCCGGACGCGGCCTTCAAGTGAGTATAATGATTAGGGAATTATGTAGAAGTGGAACAGAGAATGAGACGCTGTATAGGAGTGAGAAACGGCAATATTGTTATAGTGTATTGACAGGGCCGAGCGGAGAAGGTATGGCTATGGGTATGCCAGCTATACATATATTCTTGATGTAGGCCCAGAAATATTTGTGACGTACGAGCGTACGATCTTTTTAGATGGGAAAAAATCTGATTCCTTGGAAAATGGAAAAGAAATGAAAACAGAGTCCTTCTTGTTTTTTTGTGGAATATGCTGTACCTGTCTAGGGAATAGATAATGAATTTTGCTTTGTCAACACCTCGATCTTTTTCTAAAAAATTACATAAGCTTATTCAGAACGTCGAAGGTTTTTATGAGGGCGATCAAAGAAATTAGGAATAATGCCTGCATTTTATAAAGAAGACAGCGAATGCTGTAAGAGATGCGTCAGCACAGGAATAAGAATTTGCGAAAGGCAATGTTTGCATTGCCACGGTGTTTGTTTTGAGATTCATAGTATTCACCACGATTATGCATGTGTTTTATGTGCGAACGTCTTGCATCCATTCAAACTACATATGAGCAATATACGCGAATGCCATGACTAAGAGTAAGTGTTCAAGTTGTAGGTTGAAAGTAAACTTTATCTCAACTGCTTCTCGTTGATTTTTATTTAGAACTAGATGACTTTCCCGGTCCCGGGCCATTGTTCACTGGCTTGGGGTAGATACAATAGGTTGTCAGCAAGATTACTGTACTGCTATTCCCCGGGGAACGGTCAAGAGGTACGATCGGCGCAAATTTTTCGCGAAGCGCCGCAACCTGACTTCAACAGTACATTATCTAGCACTCATCTTGCGCTAAAACTTATGGCATTGTGTATCTACCCCACCCCGCAATCCTAGTCCTCCGCTGTGTCAACTTAGGGAGTTTCGTGGGGAACGGAATTTAGGCGCGGCGTTTCACATATTTTTTTTCTTGTCGTGCAGCCCGAGTACCCCCCCCCCCCACTTCTCCTCTTCCATCTTATAAATGACTTACCTTGGGACGTCCCTTCAATACCGCATCCTCGTGATCCTGAGGTGGAAATGAGATTTACCGCCCTAGCTTACATGATTGTGAGGGGTTGAAACATGATAAGACATGATTGTGAGGAGTTGAAACATGATAAGCCATCACTTCCTTAGAAACACGTAAACAAATCGATAAATCTATAGAAGGACCTGACGAATCGCCGTGAAAAGTAGCCTATCATCTGCGCAGGGGTCGAAAACGTATATGTGTGAAGTTTCAGCTGAATCGGTTGAGCGGCGCGCGTATCTACAGCGCACATAGCCTCCAAACTCACAATTATGAGTTATATATATAGTTGAGTTAGCTTCCCCGTTTGTACTATATTTTGGTAATCAGCACCCGCCCACTTACCCCCGTTTACCAACTCCCCTGCGCAGCCCTTTGCAAGCAAATCGATAAAATCGATAAATAATAGATGGTCCTTGAAGGCAGCGTCCCACCAGATTGGGATTACCTGGCTCTGGTAGTAATGTACTAGTAGACCCCCCTAACTAAGCTACGACAAAAGTTTGCAGCGCGAAAGGGGGTCTACGAAGTCTGCAAATCGTCTCCATGCGGACTTGCAAGTGGCCCGGATCTTACGGTAGGCTGGGGCGAGTACGAGATGCATGCAGGGCATCATGACGTGAGTGCTAGGGGTAGGGGAACGGAAGCCGCCAGCTTCGGTCGCCTGCGCGGAATGCTGGTCGGAACGACATGCAACAACGTTGCGAAAGGACCAGTTAGCCGCGAAAGGCGGCTCAAACTGGCGGCTTTCGTTCCCCTACTCGAGTGCTAGGCGTGCTCTGGCCTTGCAGTTCAAATTCGATTTGTGGGCGGCGTTCGGGCCTACCGTAAGATTCGGGCCACTTTCGGAGCAAATTTCAGGCTCGGTAGAACCCTTCTATCGATCCGAACTTC